TATAAGTTTTGATAGTTCAGTAGTCTGATCTTTCAATTGAACACAGTCACTGTTAACTATTTCTAAATATTCTCATACGTAAGAACTAGAAACGGTTACAATATTACAGATTATTATTATGAACTGTCAATGGAGGAAAGGTGTCTGTTGGCATAAAATATCTTTGATATACTTTTTTAATGAATAAGAAATAAAACTTTAATTATTTGATTTATTAATTGAATGAAATTTTTTGATGATAGATGAGATGGAAGCTGATAAAAGTGAGGAGATCAATTTTGATCAATATTTATACGAGGAATTTTTCATTGATGTGATCCAATTAATTATTTTATTTATTAAATATTCAAAAAATTAGCTCAAAGCTCTGGACCATCTTTATATCATGGTGAATTCACAATTTTATGCTCAGATTTCTCCATTACGTTAGAGTAATTCGACTATTATCAATTCCAAGATTTCTACAGTTATTGCAAGTTGGATCAATAATTTAAATTATTACGATGAAAAATGAAATTCATACAAATTTAAGCTTTTATTCTGTACAAGTAAAGATGAATTTTCCAATAACAAATTTCATTACAAATGCGATGATAAGGAAGTAACAGTCATCCTTGCCAAGCTTAACTATCAAAAAAATGATAGTTAGAGATTACAATTCAAAATGTTGGTCCAGCGATAAGTTTTATAATTATTCTACTATGACCTTTTTATTCTCATTTAAAGACTATCAGACCATTTTTTCAGCATAAATCAGTCATATTAAAGAGAGTAATTATAATTATGCAGCTTATAATTTTGCAATATATGATCCAACTTTTGAAGATGGCTTTGATTTCTATATTAAAAATAATCATTGGGGGAGCAAACTGAACTTTACTTATCCTAGTATATTTAACAATATTCAGAGTGAAATTTACAAGAATATGAAATCTTTCAGATATTAAAGGAATAATTACTTTAACTTGTATATTTTATGATAAGTAAATTTGGAATAGTATAAACACTTTTTTTCTAATTAGTATTTTGTTTCAGGATTTGTCAAACCTCTTTATTGACTAGATTAAAAAAGCATAAATTATTACTGAGATTATTTTTGACAATTATATTATTTAAAATAAATTACTTTTTTTGTAAATTGATCACAATTAGATACCACCTGCCCAAAAGAAAGGGATCGAGGAATTGGTGTGGGTATTAGGAAGATGAAAGGTGGTACTGTTATGTTGAGTTCTCAAGAGTGCAAAATAGTAGTGACAGATCAAGAAATCCGGGAATCGGTCGTGATGGTGTAAAGAATGCGATAGATTGTTGTGGCAAGCTAAGGAAATCATAGCTCTTAAATATGAAATTGATTTTACTAAGTAAAACTTAGTTATGGAATTTAATTAAATTATTAAACTGATAGCATTCCGGTTTAGGTCTAATTGTTTGATGGATTTTATATGAAGAAAATGAGTTTATAAAAGATAACATTGAAAGAATCAATAAGTCAAATTTCAACAAATATTATTGAATCTGAAACAAGCTTTGATAATAATGAAATCGTCATAAATAATATGTTCGGAAAAACATCTTTTGGAATGCAATGAATAAATTATATAAGCATACTACAGGTGTTTCAACTCTTTGAAACCATCTTAAAATAAAAGCAACAATTAAAAAAAACAAACAATATCGATTATAATTATTTCGAACCATCTGAACAAACAACACATAAGTAACTTGAATTATTTATAATTGTTGAAAACAAATATTTTCATATAATGCTATCTTAACCTTGCCCACGTTACAAAATTCCAAGTAGGCAAGAAGTTTAATATTCGACAGGCTAATATTAAAATTACTCTAGATAATTTCAGGAAAAATAGCTTTAACTGCAGATATGTGAATTTCAACAATAAATAGAGAAGCTTTTCTTGGAATTTTCAACTTTCTTTTGGATATTGTACCTTTCATACGGAAATTAATATAATTAATATGATTACCAATATACTAGAAAAACATAATATTGGACAAACTTTAGTAATAATAACAGACAGTGCATTATGTAGAAAAAAAAAAGAAATCGCAAAGCGAATTTTATTTAATAACGATAACATTTTATCACATGTACTACATATCGAACGAAATTTCGAGTTGTGATTGACCAATCAAATCGCATTTTTAACATTTTATGCTGTATAACCCTAACTCTACACGACAAATAAGCAAACCAAAACAACTCGCATTTAGTAATAAATTCAGTTGTTTTTTTACAGTCTAACCAAACTAAACCGATAACGCCCTACTTGTAGAACCTGATGATTAGCAAAGATCTCACCCCAAAAAATCAATGCTCCCCTTATTAAGATATATAAACGATAGGTCAGTGAGAATTCTGATATCGAGAATTTATTAATTTTATCGTTATTAGAAGTGCTTTTAATTAGTTATATCGAGTTTTGACTGTATATAAAAGTTTGTCTTTTTTATTATCGTTATGTAAAAAAATAAAAGCTTTTTTTTCACAAACTGCTTGCAAATAAATTTACGCATCATCTATGTATTGCCCATTCGCTTCTTTACATTCTTCGCATTCACAAAAGGCGAACATATCTAAATCATGTGATCTGAAAACACTCGTGTTTTCTACATAATATTCATGGTTTTAAACAGTTCGCTGATAATAACCACCAAAACTTTCCACGATTCCTTTTTTGGATGGAGGAAACTTTTGGAGGATCTCTTTTGCAGAACGATCGTTCTTTTTTCATTACTCGATAAGGCGATACGTTTTAAAAAGATATACATTTTTTTAAAAATTGTACATAAAAAGGAGATTTATGTGTATTTATTTTTACGATATTACCAAAAACAATTAATAAAATTTTTTAAAGATAAATCATCAACCAATCAGATTTAATAAATGTCATTCAGTAGCAGCAATTTTCTCAAACGCCTGTGTGAAATCCACTTTTATATCATCAATATGTTCAATTCCAACCGAGACACGAATCAAATCTTTTGTAACACCACTAGCTAACTGTTCATCATCAGTCAACTGTTGATGTGTCGTCGTGGCGGGATTAATAACAAGTGTTTTCGCGTCACCGACATTCGCCAAATTTGAGGCGAGTTCCAACGAGTCAACAAATAATGCACCGGCTTTTTCTCCGCCTTTTATACCAAAACTTAGAACACCGCCGAATCCATTTTTTAGATATTTTTTCGCATTTTCGTGGTACGGATGGGATTCCAACCCTGGGTACGATACCCACGCGACATTTGGATGATTTTCAAGCCATCTTGCTAGTTCGAGTGTGTTGTCAACGTGTCGTTGAACACGTAACGACAAAGTTTCGAGGCCTTGTAATAAGAGAAATGCGCCGAATGGATTTTGTGCTGGGCCAAGATCACGTAGTATTTCAACACGAGCTTTAATTGCAAATGAGGCGTTGCCAAATACGTCCCAGTATTTGAGGCCGTGGTATCCTTCGGCTGGTTCAGTAAATTCTGGGAATTTTCCATTGTTCCACGGGAATTTGCCTGAATCTACGATTACTCCGCCGATTGTTGTTCCATGGCCACCGATCCACTTTGTTGCACTGTGAACGACTATGTCTGCGCCGTGTTGAATTGGCTTTATAAGATATCCGCCTATTTAATTGTTAGTATCATATGATCATGTTATTATTTTTGTATATAAAATGAAAAATAAAAATAAACAACTTACCAGCACCAAATGTATTATCAACAATCAACGGAATCCCGGCATCATGAGCTATTTTTGCAATAGCCACAAAATCAGGAATATTATATTTTGGATTACCAATTGATTCGATATAAATGGCACGCGTTCGATCATCAATTAATTTTCGAAAGCCTTCTGGGTCATCACCTAGTGCAAATTTCACTTTTATTCCTAGTCGAGGGAGGAAGATCTATAGTAAAAGAACGAAACATTTTATATAAATATTTTGTAAACTAAGTATATGCAACTAAAGTATATACTTTGAATTGATTGTAAGTCCCGCCATACAAATAACTTGTGGACACGATATTGTCACCAGCCACCGCTATCGCATTTATTGCTATAAATTGGGCTGCCTGACCTGATGCGGTGGCGACTGCTGCTACACCTCCTTCTAGAGCAGCGATTCTCTTTTCAAATACATCTTTATTAATGTAAATAATGTAAAATTAGTGCGAGCGATCATATTACATGAAACTTTGCGAAGATTGTTATTTACCAACAGTAGGATTCCCAATTCTGTAGAAGTAATCAATTGCAAAAAAAGTATTTATTAGATTAACCACGTTTATTTTTAAGCAATAATAGATCGCCGAAACACAAATGAAGCCATCATTATCCAATCAAATTGAATAAAACAAAAATTTTACCTGCTGTAAACATTTCCATGTTCATTCAAACTAAATAATCGCGCGCCATGTTCTGAATTGTTGAACACGAACGAGGTGGAAGCGTAGATTGGAACAGCGCGAGCGTTTGTTGTCGGGTCAGGTATTTGTCCAGCATGTAATTGAAGTGTTTCAAAGTGATATTTTTTATTCTCTTTTAACGACATTATTTCTTTTATTAAAAAGAAAGCTTTTGCAAAAAAATACAAAATACGTTTTACAATGATTTGTAATAAATGCTCGAAAGAAAAAAATTTATACAACACGTCATAATGTAAAATGTTGATTGGATAAGCTTTTTTCCATTATGCAAAAACAATTACCGTTACGGTAAGGATTATAGGTATCACTCGTTTATTTTATGAAAAACGGATTATGGTGTAGATCATGGGATCATTTGGCCAGAATTATCGACAATTTCTTATAATAAAAGAGCACTATTTTGAAAATAATGATATATGCATAAAATATATAACTTAAATTAATTTGCAATAATGTTTACATTGCTAAATACTACAGTCAAATCCCTCTATAGTCACCACCCTTGGGAAAGCAAAATTTGGTGACTATAGAGGGGCTTTTTTACTATGTTTATATGCAAAATAGGGTGACTATAGAGGGTGTGACTATAAACGGGTGTGACTATAGAGAGGTTTGACTGTATATTAGTATAATTGTTATTTATAGTTTAAAACATAATGCATTATTTTGTTAAGTTCAATACTCGAAACGTGGAATGTATATGTCATGTAGGGTGAGTAATTGTTTCACTAGGAATAAATTGAAAGTACAATGTGTACCATAGTCACATCCAATACTATGAATGTTCTTTATTTCCGAAAAGTCGCCATCCATTAGGGAAGGGTTTCGGGCCTATATGAATTATTTGGGATAGTGGTGAATAGGATACACGAATAAAATAATTGAAAGTACATCGTGTACCACATCCTTAAAATAATATGAACATTCTTATTTTAGCTTGATAACAATGACAATTTATTTTTTTTTGTTTTATTAGGGGACGAGGAGATAAAGGAAAAGATTTAGAGGGAAAAATCACAAGTATTCCGTGGTTATGTGTATGGTGCATAACACTTAAACTCATCAATAGATAAATTTCTTAACTAAGAAGCAAATTTTGTATTTACTTAGTAAAGTTTATTGATGAGTTTAAATGTTATGCATCATACCATGCCAAGCTATTGCAATTGCCGTTTTATATATAGCGATAGGGTAAAAATAATTTGGACCCAATATAAATTAAAACTTTAGTTATATAATTAGTAATAAGCGAACTTTTTAAAGATTCTAATATTTTTTTCATTCTACCATAAATCTTAACCCGATTGTGAGGTTTTGATGAGAATGAGATTTTCATATTGAATAATTCGGATCACAAGTTGAATCCAATCGAGTTATTCAAGTTGATTCGAATTATACCAGGTGCCATAACCTAAATTTGGCATGTTTTTATTTTCTATGTGGATAGCAGTTAGCAGTAAAAGAGCTATTTTATTTCTTTGACTTGCCACGACGACCCATCAAATCCTTCATACCACCACGACCGATTCCCAGATTCCTTGACGTGTCACCACTATTCTGCACTCTCTTTATATCTTGAGAACTCAACATAAGAATACCGCCCTTTATCTTTCCAATACCCACACCAATTCCTCGATCCCTTTTATCATTATTCTTTTTGGCAGACGCTGCCCAATTATTTTTAATCGATTGGTGATATAGACCGAGATTTTTGGCCTTTATTTTTAGAGAAACACAAAATCATGAGAAACAGAACAGCGGAACTGTTTTTTATTCATAGATAATAAAAACCTACCTCTTCGAGTTCTTTTGTTTCCTTTTTTAGTTTCTTACGTAATATGCCCAATCCTATTGGTGTCGGAACTTTATCACCCTTTGGTGGCTATTTCAAAACATATAATTTAGCATATTATTGAAGGGTGAAATACGTTTCCGAGATAATGATTTTATATTCTTACCTTTGCTCCAAGATTAATCATTTGTTTTTCTTTGTGCTTTCGAAGCTCTTTACCACTTAATTGTTCAGCGGCTACATTCAACACCAATTAAGAACTCGTAATCAAAAAATTCCTACCAAGAAGACATAAATATAATACATACTATATAGATCCAATAACTTCGTTGTCTTTAGTAATTCTTCTAGTTCAGCATCGTGACGTTTATTCAATCTATTTTTTGGTTTTTAAGTATGTATTACTCTTAATTAACTATTAAATAATATCTTAGATGTATCACTTTACTCTTCTTCCTCTTTCTCTTTTGTGGTTGATTTCATCTTTGACGAGTTTGTAGCATCATCCATTTTGGAAAGTTTTGGCGACTTTAATTAAAAAATTCATTAATACTTGAAATACATATAAATTGAGACATTGAAATATATATCACCATAAATGCTTTCCATTCGTATATATTTGCACCATTATTCTTTTTCAGATTCAAACCATCAAATACGACAAGTTCTGGCGTTTCGTGGACCTCTTCATCTTCACTAGAAGGTATTGACTCTTCGTCATCGTTCACTTCAAGTTTACGTTTTTTGCCTGTGACAACTTTATCCTTTTCTTTATCATTAATGGCTTTTTTTGACTTCTTGGACTTTGTCCTAGCAAAGAACGGGTTGTTCATTGTTGTAAATTATGAATGCTAAAAAATATTTTTGAGATCAACTGATGTCCAACTTTCACGTAACACTAAATTTACAATATGAAGTTTTTCGGATATTGAAGAATTTGTTTTATTCTTTAAATAATTTTTTTGTTTTTTTCAAACTTTAGCCTTTTGAGACCGTAATCATCTATTGATCAAATACCCTAGCCACGGGCGTAATTATAATCTGTGCTCGGAACTTTCCCAGCTTCGCCAACAAAAATCACGCTCACGTGAGTACGAAAAATTAACGTTAAAGCTATTTATCGTTCGGGTTAGAGAACATGATATATGTGAAATTGCCTTCCTATCATTTTTTGTTACTGCTTCAAGCCAGATTTTGACATCCGTTTTCCGTATTTTTTACATTATTCACTTTTTTCATTTCCTTGTTTCGGATTTGTTTTGCCGGGTTGATAAAAAATTTGCACATTCTTATTGGTTTGCGCCACTCAACAGGACGTTCTTATTGGTTTGCGCTCACGTGAACATGAATTTTTGTTTGTAATGCTGAAGTTGAGTGTATCTATGTACATCCCAATCCGTTTTGGTTAGATCAAATAACAGCCAATAAGAATGCATAAATTTTTGATCAACCCGGCAAAACAAAAAA